GTTAATATTTTTTCCCAAAAATCTATTGCTGGTAATACTTTTTTTACAAAGTATTTCTGCTATTAAAATCTATTTTTACACTTTCATCGTATTTTGACCCCAGTTTGGGTGTTGACTATTTGCCCATAGTTGGGATCCTAAAAGGTGCTACCACCCCGGGTCAGGGTGGACGTGGGAACACCAGCAATTAAGAGGTGGTTCCATGCTCCTCAAAACCTCCCGATCAGAGGCCTAGCTGTTGGACGTAGTTTATCGTCTTACCCAGGACGCGGATGTAGTCTATCGTCATACACAGGACGCCGATGTAATTTATGGTCTTAGCCAGGACGCGGATGCAGTTTATCGTCATACCCAGGACGCAGATGCAGTTTATCGTCTTACCCTGGACACGGATGTAGTTGATCGTCTTTTTATCGTCATCCCCAGGACGCGGATGCAATTTATCGTCTTACCCTGGACACGGATGTAGTTGATCGTCATACCCAGGACGCGGATGCAGTTTATCGTCATACCCAGGACGCAGATGTAGTTTATCGTCATACCCAGGACGCAGATGCAATTTATCGATGACACAGTTTATCGTCTTACCCGTCATCGTCTTACCCAGGACGCAGATGTAGTTTATCGTCATCCCCAGGACGCGGATGCAGTTTATCGTTTTACCCTGGACACGGATATAGTTGATCGCCTTACCCAGGAGGCGGATGTAGTTTATCGTCTTACCCAAGACGTGGATGTAGTTTATCGTCTTACCTTGGACACGGATGTAGTTTATCGTCTTACCAAGGACGGGTGGGGAGAACACGGAAGAAAGCAAAAATAACAACATATTAACGAAGCAGACATATGAAACATTTCTCGTTGTTTACTTAGACTAGCAGACACTAATTTACAAAACTTACCAGAATATAGCACAGTGTTACATATGTGGGTCATCCAGCGAGAATCAAATTCACTATTGTAGTAAAGGTTAGAGTTGTTCAATAGGCAATGTGAAGAGAAATAATCATGGTTGGGTTGTCGAACTGAACCCTTTATTTCGCTCACTGGGGTAGACTGTTCTAGTTCCACGTGCCATGTCTAATGGATGTCAGTTATCAGTTATCTCCTGTTAATTCCCCTCTCCAAGTTTTCCACTGCTTTAACCGGGTATTGAATTCACACTCATTGGGCCCAACCATCTGAAGAAGGCAGGAGCGTACAACGGACGAAACGTTGTAATAAATATGGCGACAAAGATGAGGACAATAGTCCGAATAATGTAAATAGTGTACATAATACCTCATCTCAGAAATATAGACAGATACTGAAAGACCGAAACGTTGTAATAAATATGGCGACAAAGATGAGGACAATAGTCCGAATAATGTAAATAGTGTACATAATACCTCATCTCAGAAATATAGACAGATCTCAGAAAAATATAGACAGATACTGAAAGATGAGGACAAACGTTGTCAATAGTGTACAAATCATCTGAAATATAGACAGATACTGACGAAAACGTTGTAATAAATATGGCGAAAGATGAGGACAATAGTCCGAATAATGTCAATAGTGTACATAATACCTCATCTCAGAAATATAGACAGATACTGAAGAAGGCCGGAGCGTACAACGGCCGAAACGTTATAATAAATATGGCGACAAAGACGAGGACAGTAATCCGAATAACGTAAATAGTCTACATTGTATACTTTATAAATTCAAATTAACTGAAAAGAATTCGATTGAATTGAGTTGACGAGACATGGGTAAGCTGAAAGCGTGAGAATTGCTTAAAGAAAGCAAGAAATGTCATTTCCAAACCAGGGTAGAAAAAAAAAACTCCTTCTAGTTTTTTTTTTTGTTAATTTCAATTTATAACGTAGTTTAGTCACTGTTTCGTTTATTTCTCAAGACCGACCAAGAATTGCAAGAGGTTTCCGAAATATATCTGTTTTTAATAATAAAATATCCGTTGGAATTACAAGTTGTTATTTTTTTCAATTCTACTTCACCAATGGAATCAAGCGTTTTTATATTTCTCAGTTGCTGTTTAGTTTTTGCGAGTGTTCCTTTCGTTAGTGGGTCATTTGATGCCGCACCCACGAACAACAATAATAGGATTGCTTCAAACCACACGCCCACTCGAGTGGAACGTGACACAAAGTCGAGTTTAAGGTGGAGGTCCTCATGTCCAAAGACAAGAAAGAAGAAGAAGAAGAAGGAGAAGAAGAAGAAGGAAAGAAAATAAGAAGGAAGAGAGAAAAAGAAAAAGAAAAGAGAAAAATTAACTATGACTCAAGGAAAAAGAAAGACAAAAGAAAAAGAAGAAAATAGAAAGAAAAGAGAGAAGAAGAATAACAAGGATCCAGTGGAGGAGGAGAAGAAGGAGAAGAAGAAGAAGAAGAAGAAGAAGAAGAAGAAGAAGAAGAAGAAGAAGAAGCAGTGAGTCAGAAAAGGAAAATGAAAAGAGAAGGAGAAGAAAATAATGACTCCGGGAAGAAGAAAAAGAAAAGAAAAGAAAAATGAAAGAGTAAAAACAAGAAAGAAGAACGTAAAATAACAACGGCCTAGTGAAGAAGAAGAAGAAGAAGAAGAAGAAGAAGAAGAAGAAGAAGAAGAAGAAGGAGACAGATAGGAGGAAAGAAAAATGAAAAGAAGCAGAAGAGGATAAAGAAGAAGAAGAAGAGGAAGAAGAAGAAGATAGAATAACAATGGCTCAGAGAAGAAAAAGAGAAGGAAAAATAGCAATGACTCAGAGAAGAAGAAAAAGAAAAAAGGAGAGGAAAAGAGTAAAAATAAAAAAGAAAGAAGAAGAAGAGA